AGGAAGATGAGAACACTTTGGCTGTACCTTCGAGTCCTGGATCCCCTGGCTGCATCTCGTGCTGCTGGGAGGGCGGGTGGAAGCAGTGGGGAGAGCAGTCCCAGCTCTGCTGCTCTTCAGGATTCCCCTGACTGCAGCTTCTGGGGTCTCCTCCAGCCAGAGTGGTGCCAGGATGCCACAGTGAGGTGCTGGGGCCAGAGGCTCTGTGTGTCCTGCCTCACGTCCACAGAGCCACACACTCAGCTCCTGTTTCTCACCTGCTGCCCTGGCCACTGGCAAACGTAGAGGCCCTTCTGTTGTGGAAGCTCCTCCTTCAGAGGAGGGTCAGGCCTCAGCTGGGTGCCAGGGGTGAGGGGGGCAGTGCCCCCTTTGCCACACTTCACAGGAAACAGGCTGGGCGGGAGGCTCGGAGCAGTGAGGCCGTGAAATGAGGTGCAGGAATTGGGTGAGGAGCAGATCACTAACTTGGAGCATCTGTCCTGGCCCTGTGTGAGTTAAGTTACGAACTGAAAAGCAAGAGAAAGTGGGAGATCCCTTCACAAATAATAAACACTTGTTTGTCTCGGATTAAATGCAACACCTCTACATGTGGGCTCCAGATGGCTGTAAGGACGTGCACCTTGCGTGGCTCTGAGCTCCCTTGCCAATGAGAAGATGATTTTACATCCATCTGCTCAAAGGTTAATAACCTGCATTACAAAAGAGGAAGAAAAAAGGCAAATCTTTTCAGTTTACAGGAAGGAAAAAATGGGTTTTCATCACAAGTGCCCTAGGCTTGCCCTGCCTCCAAGCAGAGTCCAACAGCAGAGAAGGAACGTGGTAACCCAGGTGCCATAGCCACGTCTCCCAGAGAGAAAGGTTTCCATGCCAGGAGGAGAAGGCAGCTTCCAGAGAGGGATGCACGTTCCTAACCCGGGTCCTGCTGCTGTCTTGGGTTCACAGGGAGACTTTTGAGCTCTTTGGCAACGTTCAGGGCAGGAGCAATTTCTGATGTGAAGCCTTACAACCAGGATGTTACTGAAACTGGCTCTAGGGTCTCCACAGTCTGAACTCTGCCAACATCTGGAGAATCTGGCTTTGAGTGCTCAGGGAGGGAAGGAATTTTTCTCCTCCGAGTGAGAGGAATGGATAAGTTAGCAACAGCACCTGCATTATCCATTTCTTTGGGAGATGGAATCCAGCCACGCTCCATCTGAACTGAGCTGACGCTCCCAGCCAGCCCCCGGGAAGGCCAGGGGGGCTCTGTGGGTTTTGGGGGGTTGTTGAGAGGTGCTGGG